GGGCGAGGATTTTGTCTTTAATTGTCCCTTGTTCTCCTTGTAGCTCCACTCAAAGGGATACCAAAGCAAGCTCCTTTCAGGAATCCCACCGCTCCGATTGTCTTCAGCCCGACAGGGAACCGGACCCCCATTCTGTCCTCCAAAGTGCCCCTGTGCAAGGAGAGGGGCGTAAAGGTATCTCAAAGCGTCTATTTCTCCTCTTCCCCCGTAGAAGCGAAGGGCTTTCCCTGTCAATTGTGTTCAGAAACAGGCCAGTAAAACCTTCCTGGATTGTGTTGCTTCACCTCACAAACATCTAGTGACGTTCTTGTCAGTTGCGGTTTTAGAAGCTTCTCCATTTGGTTCTTTCAAGTGCAAGACAGGGCAACGATCTAATCTGGCATTTCACTGTAGCTCACTTGTGCCTAATAATGTGGCAGAATTGTTTAGCAATCTGTCTGGATCAGTGGTTCTCAACCTTTTTAATGCCGCGACCCCCAACCGGTCGTAAGTCGAGGACTAAACCGGTCGTAAGTCGAGGACTAAACCGGTCGTAGGTCGAGGACTACCCAACCGGTCGTAGGTCGAGGACTTTCCCTGCTCGGGAGCGCCGCACATGCGTGGTTCCGCCCCTTGCGCCGGCCGAGGCGTAGCTGGCAAGCGGCAGAGACGGAGCAGGCCGACCACCAGCTGGCCCAGCCCAAGGGAGGTAAGGCACCCGCCGGAAAAGGGGGAAAAATGGCGGACAAAAAAAATGGCGGACAGCCTTGCTTGGCGACCCCCGTGAAATGATCGATCGACCCCAAATGGGGTCGCGACCCATAGGTTGAGAACCGCTGGTCTGAATAGTCTTCCAGGATCACTGTGCAAAAATGTTTTACATTTAGAAAGAGAGAATTGAAGAAGCAGCCCTAAAAGTAATTAAGGGGTGCCTTTATACTTGAAGTACTTTAAATGTGTGTTATGTATGTGTGCACTTTGAGAGTAAGCTGTCTGCCTGCCTATCATCTATAGCAGGGGTAGGCAACCTTGGCTCTTTTATGACTCTCTTTTATGACTTTTATGACTCTTGTGCTGGCTCAGGAATTCTGGGAGTTGAAGTCCACGAGTCATAAAAGAGCCAAGGTTGCCCACCCCTGATCTGTAGAGGGAACAAATCCCACCCGTGTTTGTTCTACATTCTTGCCTGCTAAAATCAGTTTTCTCGTCTGTGTCATTTTTGAGGCCGATAACAATTTATAAAACAGACTTGGTGCATCTTGTAAGTTAGGCAACAGTGGGCAGTTTTGACGTGCCTCATCCCCAACGCCTCCTGAAAAGACAGTGGTGAAATTCTACATGCGCAGAATGCTATATTTAAATGGGTCAAATTTAACCGTGGACGTTTATGAAAATAAGCACTCCAAACAGAACGTGTGGCACGTGTCCCACGGTTTTTGTGGACTGGGGAAAAAGCCTGGCCACAGGAGAAAAAAGTTTAGAAAATGAAGAAGTTATTTAATAGACTGATAAACTGTTAAAAGAGAACGCAAACCCTTTTTTCCCCCCGATAGTTGTTATTTTTTTAGGTTTACGACAACACAAAAACATTCTTGGATGTTGCTCAGTAGAGTGGAAGATTAAGGCACAGGCTGAAACTCTCCAAGCTTTGTAATTTTTAGCCAGACGTGATAAGGAAGACACATCGAAGCTGTTTTATGAAATCCCCGATACAGGAAGTCCTCGGGGTTTGTGCCACGAGTGGGAAAGTAAGGATTTTCGTTTTGTATTTGTAGTACCTGGACCTCAAAGAGCTGAAAGCGGTCGACTC